TTATCTGGGGAAAGAGTCTCGCTTAAGGAATTGCCACAAGTTAGCCTGTGAGTATGTCTGAGGGATGGTCTTCATTGTTCACTGTCACAGGAGATCATCATGGGTCCCTGCTGTGGAATGCTCCAAGCACAACAGTTGCTACCATCTTAGTCAGGATATATGTGATTACCTCTGAGAGACCCTCAACAAGAGCCATCGTCACCCACAGACTTTCCCTTCTAGGAGTCGGGGGAGGTCACTAGACCTCACCTGAGATTCTAGTCCCTGCACTGTGTCCTATGCAACTCGGATCTCAGGAAGTACTATGTGTATAGAGTGTGCAGCATCCAGGGGCAGCGGGGGTGGTACTGACCCTCCTGTAAGCACCTTCTCATTCATAGTCCTGTAAGTAACTCTATAAAAACATTGGTTCAGCAGGATGGATTTGGAGGGAACCGTTACTCTTGTCTGTCATTGTTGCCTTCTCTGGGGTGAGCAGGTGCCCACATCTCCCCAGGAGAAGCTCACACAGCAATCGTAAAGAGGGAACTTGAGCCACTTCACCCGCAGCCAGGCTGCATACCGGGCAACTCCATGCCCCACCCCTATCAAGGCATCGAGGTTAATTCCCAGCTGCCAGCCAGTATTTAACTTTCCAGTTAAGATTAAACATTGGATTTGTAAAAGCCCAGGGCTGCAGACTCCAGTCAGCAAGAGTTTACTGGGTCTCAAGCTGAAAGTGCCCAGCGTGCTGAGATTTGTGTAGTCCTAAAGAGCTCACGCCAGCGAGACGGGCAGAGCCTGGTTTTCAGAAGGCTTCCTGCTTTGCTCACGCACTGTGGAGGTAAGTTTCATTACACAGCTTTTTTAAAAAAAAAATTATGCAACTTTTTTTCCTTTTCCTTATTTCAGAAAACTGAATGCACACACACACACACACACACACACACACACGTTCTGGGCATGCTTGCCTTCCTTCCCTCTAGCCACCTCCCTCCCTTCTTAACCTTTCCTTGTTCATCTCTTCAGAATTGCCTTCAGATGAAAATGTTGAAAGTGCTTTTTTAAATGAAGGATTCATACCAAATGTAGGTAACTATATCTTTTTCCATAAAAACACATGACTTGGCTGTCTGTTGTTGGCATGTGTAAGGGTAGTCATCTACCATATTTCAAGCAAAGAAAGCTTTGGTCATTAGGGTCAAACGTGTGACTTTCCTTGTCACGACTCGATTGTCCTTGATGGTCACCTCATAGAGCTGTGGTAGGAGGACCTGGAACTAGGGGATCATTCCGTGATCCAGAGACGGGACACAGCCAATGGAAGCATGCAAGCTCAGGCCATGCTCTCAACCTTTTGTCCTTTATACTGCTGAGCCAATCAGCCACAGGAGGCAAAAACACGGTTACTTGCATTGTGTGGCCTCCGCTAGGACAGGCTGAGTACTAGACACTGGTCTTGGTCAGTTCTGGCCCAGGCACAACAGCCAATTTGAGAGCCCTGATCTTAGACAGACCTAAGTGCTAGGCTGTAGTCATAACCCACCAAAGAGCAAGCAGGTCTCTGTTCTCTGGGTGCCCAGCCTGTTCTGAAACTCAATAAAAACTGTTTAGTGGGGATACACTTCCCACTAGGTGGAACCATGTGACACTGACCAGTTAGACCTGCTTAGACCTAAGGCAATCTCATACAGTTCAAATGGTTGCACACAACCAATACAGTAATGGGTATTACTAAAGTAAAATGCCTCCCTCGGGACTTATAAGGGGCACGTATGTGTGCCAAATATGGTGGCTGTCTATCAAGTCAGTGGTTATTCTAGGAATCAAAATTTAAATAAACCCCTTTATCATTTTTAATGTTAGCTTGCTATTAGCCTTTATAACCTGCAGATTTTTTAATTTTTTGTTTTTAATTTGTATGTGAGTTCATGTGTGTGTGTGTGTGTGTGTGTGTGTGTGTGTGTGATTGCAGACCAGATGTACCACAGAGCACACGTGCAATCGGAGGACAGCCTCAGTGTGCAGTTTGTCCTCACCTGCTTCATTTGGAACACGGTCTCCTGTTTACTGCTGTGTTCTCCAGGCAAAGCGGCTTGTTAGCTCCCAGGATCCTCTGGTATCCCCCTCCCATCTCACCCCAGGAGTGCAGGAACTACATATGCATGCAAGCGCTACCATGTGCAGCTTTACATGAACTCTACATATGCACGCAAGTGCTACCGTGTGCAGCTTTACATGAATTCTACATATGCACGCAAGTGCTACCGTGTGCAGCTTTACATGAATTTGGGGGATCCAGACTCCGGTTCTCAGACTCGCCAGTCGGCGCTGCACCCGTTGGGCCTCTCCAGCTCCTGCTTTCCTATTGAAGGTTCGTGTGCGGAGTGTGATGCTTCCTACTTAGCTTTGAGTAGTTCTCTCATACAGCTCCTCTCCCCGACTCACTGACCCCTCTTGTGATTTCGCTCTTCTCCCCTCAATGTTCCCTTTTCCACGTCCATAGCGCATTCTGCTTAGCCTCTGAATGTGTTTTAACAAACCCCTATCCGTGAGATTGCTTTCGCACCATGCTTTGAATCTTTCCATGGTCGGGAAACACCAGACTTTCCGACCAAGCCGCATCTCATGCCTTGGTATTGAAAACGTGAACCCTCCCAGAGTCTGCTCAGCCTGGACAGAGGTAAGCACTCAGGCATTTATTTAATCCTCATAGGCCCTTTCAAGCCTGTGATTAAGCCTGAACAAAAAGCACCCGTGACCTGCTTAGAGCGAAGAGCCAAGCAAACAGTGAGTGGTGCAGGGCCCCAGCTCTCCGGGGCTGGCAACTGTGCCCACACCGGGAAGCAGGCCTGAGTGGCACCAGCGGGATGCCCTGCTAAAATCTCTCACCTCAGGATACCTGCGGAAGAGACTCTTAGACTGTGGGGAGCCTAGCAGTCCCCTGAAACTGAACTCAGCTCTCCCTACATGCAGACATAAACGTTACGGAGAAAAATGAGTCTGGCTCCGCTCTGCCGCAGCAAACACCGTTTAAGGCGGTAGCAGCACATCTCTGTTTCCAAACACACCTGGGAGCAATCGCATCTGTTTGCTAACTTTTTTAACCTACTAGGCTTTGAGTGCTGGGGAGAAGGAGAGAGATCTTAAAGACCTTTGAAGAACAGAAGCTAAAATGTCAAGTGAGGGACCAGAGCTACGGCTTAGCAGTTAGGAGGACTTGCTCTTGAAGAAAACTGGAATTCAGTTCCCAGCACACACGTGGTGGCTCACAAGTGTCTGTAACTCTAGTTCCAAGGAACCCAGCTCCTTCTTCTGGTCTTCTCAGGCACCAAGCACGAACATGGTGCATATTCATACATGTAGGCAAAACGCTCACATACATAAAATAAATATATTCTCTCTCTTTTTTTTTTTAAAGTCAGATGAAAAATGGGTTTTGGGAACAGGATTCTCAGCTAGAGCAATTTGGGAGAACGAGTTGCATGGCAGAATGCCTGGAAGTCCGCGGGTGGTCGTCTCCAGATAGGAGAATGCCTGGCACAGCCTGTTTGTGATGGAGCGTACAGACACATGTCCAAGGCAGCTCACACTGGGACTTAACAGAGAGAGTGCAGGCAGGGGAGCAGGCATAAAATCCTAGGTAGTGAGACTGGACTCAAATGTCCTCAGGCAAGAAAGCAAGCGCAATTGCTAGATGCAAGAGTCTTCTGTTGTAAGGGATAAGTGCAGAGTTGGGTCAGGTGGGAACTCGGGCCAGGCCAGGTAATCTTGTTAAAGAATTAGGAAGTTATTTTTAGGACATCAGGAAGGTCCACATCCTGTGATGGAAGGTGATGGCATTGCCCTACTTCCCTTCTGGTAAAGAGAGCAGGGCAGACACAGCCTAAAAAGATGTTTCTGGTCAGGGGTGGGGGGGTGAGCACGCGGTGTTTAGAGAGATGGCGGTGGCTGGGCAGAGGCAGTGAGATGAAGAGGAGACATGGATCTGAGGACTGAGGAATGCTCAGTTTATGTTTTGGCATCAGCATCTAAAAACACTCTTTTCCACTATGTGTGTGTGCATGTGCGTGCGTGTGTGTGTTTGTATGGATGTGTATGTAAAATCTGTCTAAGTAGTCACAACCAACCTTTTGACACTGTGACAAATATCACCAACTAAGTTCACACACCAGAACTGTGAAATCAAGTAGTTACAAGAAAAAAATCCCATAAATTGCAACAAACCCACACACACATACACACTTCATAATGTCATAATGTTTTAAGTAGCTTCCTGCTTTGAGGCTGCATGCACAGCTGTCCTGTGCTGCTTGCAACCCATGGGCCACAGGTTGGACATTCCTGATAAACCTAGGACATAGGATATATATTTTAAAAAAATCTATCTTTGTAAACTTTTGTCTCAATGCTGTGTCTAAATCCCCACAATTTGTAAAAGCAAATTGCCCACTGCTTCATTCAAGTTCAACAGCAAACATGGTGGATGCATGTCACACACACACACACACATACACACACACACACACAAAGACACACACGGATGCATTCTGTTAGTGGCTGAGAGGTCACTGTTTTTTTTTTTTCAGCAAAAAGTAATGCAAGATGATTGATGGGAATTCAACATTCAAGAAAAAAGCACAAAAATATATGTCTATACATATGTATATATAAGTAATATATAAGTAGATAAAATGTATACATTTTGATCTAATTCCTTTTAATATTTTCCCTTTTAATATATGCATATATAATTCCGTATAAATGTCTTTATATAGCTTTATGTCTTCTGTTACATTTTATTGTAATAGTACAGTCAAACAATGAATAAAATGGGTGTGTTTAAAGACTACCCAATTTTGAATTTAATCCATCACTAACCAGGTTAAGAAATTGTCTTCTCAGGGCTGGAGAGATGGCTCAGAGGTTAAGAGCACTGGCTGCTCTTCTAGAGTTCAATTCCCAGCAGTCACAGGCAGAATACATAGTAAATAGATCTCAAAAAAAAAAAAGGGAAGGAAGGAAGGAGTAAAAGGAAAAGAGAAAGAGAAGAAAAAGAAAAAATTACATCCTCTCCACTTGCATGAGGCCTTAGCCTTACTAATCTGTATTATCATTTAATTACAGCAAGGGAGAAACATGACCACATTAGCCAATTTTACACAAACACTGGAGGATGTCTTCAGAAAGATTTTCGTTACTTATATGGACAACTGGAGGAGGAACACGACAGCCGAAGAACAGGCGCTTCAGGCCAGAGTTGATGCTGAGAACTTCTACTACGTCATCCTGTACCTCATGGTGATGATTGGCATGTTCTCCTTCATCGTGGTGGCCATCCTGGTGAGCACGGTGAAGTCGAAGCGGCGGGAGCATTCCCAGGACCCCTACCACCAGTACATCGTGGAGGATTGGCAAGAGAAGTACAAAAGTCAGATCTTGCATCTGGAAGAACCCAAGGCCACCATTCATGAGAACATGGGGGCAACAGGGTTCTCAGTGTCGCCCTGACAAATAGCGAAGGCACATCTGGTTAGGAAGGGGTGCTTCTGCCACTTAGCAAGTCCGATTTGTCCTTGCTCAGAAGAAAGCTAGCTCCTCTCTGTGTGAACATCTTCGCAGTGATGGCCTGGCTGGCCAGTTGGCACGGGTGACATTTCTATCTCAGGGTTTTACACGAGCCCATTGGGGTGATACTTTGTGCTGAAGATCTCTTTTTAAGTTGCTATGCAATATAAATGTCATGTAAATCAATTTCCATCCCGAGACTTGAGCCAAACATGAAGCAGAAGGCCCGGGCAGGGGCAAGGGGAATAGAGAGCAGAGATTTACAAACCCTTCAACCTTCTTTCTCGTACGAAATATTAGTTTGAATGTAGCAAACTCAATTTATGAATAAGTCAAATGTGTTATTCAGAAGCCAAGGTTTAAATCTGTCACGGGTTTGCTGAAATCACAGGCGAGCACTTAAGTACTGATTCATGGGCACAGAGGACCTAGGTTCAATTCCCAGCTCCGACATGGTGGCTCACAACTGTCTGTAACTCCAGTTCCTGGGGACCCAACACCCTCACCCAGACATACATGAAGGCAAAACATCAATGCATATTAAATAAAAATAATTAAATAAAAAAGAAATTGGATTCCAAGTCAGAAAAAATAACTTTTAAAAATATGGCATTTCTTCTAAACATCACGCTTTTTACTTATTTTCAGTCCTTGTTTTTATAGCAGCTTATCTTCACGCGTGTTTGACAAGACCGAAGCTCTGAGAACTAGACAGCGGCTGCTTCATCCTTTGCACCATAATGTGGGGGGGGGGGGGTAGAGAGATGTTGGTCAAAGGTTACATATTTTAAAGGGGCCTAGGGGTGCACACCATAACCCCAACCCTCAGGAGGCTGGAAGGAGCTGAGGTTCAAAGCCATTCAAGACGCTTTGTACTGTAAGGTCAATAACAACGCTTTCTTAAAAGCTGACCAGTGGGCGAGCATGGTGGCGCACGCCTTTAATCCCAGCACTCAGAAGGCTGAGACAGGTGGATCTTTGCGAGTTCAAGGCCAGCCTGGTCTGTAGAGCGAGTTCCAGGACAGGCTGCAAAGCTACACAAAGAAACCCTGTCTTGGAGGAAAAAAAATATTTTGTACCATGGAGTACATGGCATCATGCCAGAGCTGAAGGGCACCTTGGAGGTCACCTGTACCCTTCACCTACAGAGGTCAACAGGAAGTGGACACAGCCAGAGCAGAGCCGTGAGAATCAGGACACAATTGCTGAAGGCAGGATGTCCAGGGCAAAGGAGGGACATGCTGGTCCTTAGCCTTGTGTCTCTGTACCCATCTTTCCTCTGTCATGGCCAGGGCACAACATTGTGAGTGAGGCTTCACTCCTCGGAGCATCAAGACAAGGTTCAAAGAAGTCCATTTCTGTTGCCATATGAGATGACCTGACTGGGCAATTCTTACAGGTTTATTTGAGGCCATGGTTCTAGGGGCTGGAAAGCCTATGAGAATCTGCTAGGTTCCTGGTGAAGCTTCACATGGCTTTAATTTGTGGCAGGAAGGGGAAGGCCAAGCTGGCGTGCATAGTGAAAACCACACACCAGACACGACCTCATAACTATGCATGCCCTGGTGTTAATCCAGCCCAGTGAGTGAAACTCCCTCCGCCAAAGGCCATGCATTCCTTTGGTGGAGGGTAACACCTCTTAAATGCCCCCACATCTCAACATATTGGGGACCAAGTTTTAACATGAGTTTTGGTGGCCACAAACCACAAAACCAACCAGTGTTTGCTGGTTGTAGAAGATACAACACACAGAAAGTATCTGCTTCCTACATTTTTCATTTGACTAGCAGAGGTACTAAACAGTGTCAGAGAGAGACATTCATAGTCTAAGCACAGATCTGTCATGCGTAGCCTCCTCCCTCAGAACAGAGGCTAAATAAAATTCTGATGCCCACTGACACCGCCATCCTAGATAGCCTTGACCCAGAGATGCCAGCCTGGGGCTCTATCTAGCCAGGGTTTCTACCCGGGCAACGGACTTTTCTTTTTAATCAGTCTCTAGTCAAGGTCCCTGAACCTTCTTCCTGACTAGGCCCCAGCCTTGACCAGTAAAACCTGCATATTCTTGGTACAAATTATCTCATCGACCTTCATAGCCTACGAAACTTGCACAAACATCAGTTTTGTTTTGTTTTTTTATCTAACACCTCAAAGCTGAATCCCGGGGTTATCCCAGCTCCTTAAAGTACCTCCTGAGAAAAACGAACCGCAGCCAGGGGAACTGACTGCATAGTCCAGCCACAATAGGCAGAGAGGCCACTGGGTTCTCTTCACACAATTGAGGAAGCATACAACTACAGATCCTCTCTTTCCCTTGGAGGAATAATTAATCCTTCTACCATCTAAAACTGTCTCTTAGAAATGTGAACATTGAAACCCTGCAAAGAGAATTCTTCCAGCATCTAGAAATACCTCTTTGAAATGTAAATATTAATGCCTCGCTGGGTGTGCACCTTGCAGGTCTGAGTCACATATGGGAATTTTTTTTTCTATTTCAGAGCACAGATCACATGGGACCCCCCCCCACCCCAACACACACACTGTTGGTAAATTTCCATTTGGTTTGTTACCCAGGAAAATATAGTGGTGGCTAAATCCAGGGTTTCATTATTAAGCATATTTTATTGTCAACACTGGAAAGCATAGTTCCAACATGGATTGTAGTCTGTCAATAATATTTGGGGGAGAACAGGAGAAATGCTACATCCTTAAGTAGTAGTGAATATGGTCAACTTGACAGATTCTAGACTCACATAGCTGATAAGCCTCTGGGCATGTCTTGGGGCATTATCTAGGTTGGGTTAAATGAGAGGGAAAGACATACTCTAAGTGGGTGACACCATTCCCTGGGCTGGAATCCCGGATGGAACAAAGAGAAGACCAAGCGAGCCCGAGCCTCCATCACTCTACGCTTCCGCCTGGGGCCTCTGGCTAGCCTAGACAAGCCCTTCCTTCCCTAAGTGGCTTTTCCCAGGTGTTTAGTTTCGCTAACAGTGCAGACAACTAACACATTGGACATGCGTGTTGGGTGTCCAGGTGTTCATCAACCTCCCCCTCCAGGGTCAGCTTCCACCAAAGTGAGGCTTTCCCAATGAAAATGCTCATTCAAACAGCTGGTTTTATCTCTCCGTCCCATTCAGAGTTCGTTTTGCTTAGCCTGTGGGTCCCACACACCAGATTTGAAGCCATCTCAAATGGACAGGGATGATCTGATTCTGGCCTCACAACCTATGGCAAGCCCCCAGTCTGCCGCATGCTTACCTCTGAACAAACCATTTTTTATGCTTCCATCTCGTCGTTTGTGAAATGGTTATATAGCGTGTCCTTTACAGGCCTCAGAAATGTAAATTAGACAATAGTTTCGAAGTGCTTAGAACAAGGTTTATTTGTTACCTTCTCTGAAAAAAAAATCCCTTTTGGCTTTCGCCTCTGCTTGCTAATATGGTCTACTTTGTCTCCACAAAGAAGCATAACGAGATTTGAACTTAGATTTCTTGGGTTCAAATATCTACTCTGCCACTGCAGGGTATTTGTAGGACTTCTAATGACAGCACCGGGCATCAGCTTCCCCCTCTACAAAAAAGGAGAGTCGAAGTGGGGAGCTCGAGTGGGTACTTTCCCTCCCCACAGCCTTATCCAGGGCTGCTCCCTTTGCGCCTCCCCACTCCGCACGCTTTCAGGGACCAATGGTTAGAAAAGAATCTGGGAACCTAATGCAGGTGCATCCTTCAGTTATCCCAAAGGACGATGCATCCATGTTGTTCCCATGGAGAAATGCTAAGTCTGGGGGTAAAAAAACAACAAAAACAAACAAACTGGGGACTCCTTGTCCTCAGCTGTAGAAAACAGAAAGCCGACATCAGCGAAAGTAGCGGAAGATGAAGATGCACCGCGGCACGAACCGAGGACTCCAGGCTGCAACACACCTGTGGACCACCCTTAGGAGTCCGATTTGGATTTCTGCATTTCTCATTACCCCAGGCGACTTGCCTGATTCCCAGAGAGACTGCGTTTGGAGCAAGAAGTGCCTTAAAGCCTGAGCGGCACCCAGCAGCGCTAACAGCAGCCTAGACCCAAAACGCCTGCGCCTCAAGCGGTGACCTTCACGACAGTGCTTGCGTGCGGAGCGGTGCATTTCGGGATCTGTAGTTTCCCCGACGGGATTGTGGGAGTCGTGGCTTGTCAGCACCCGGCCAGGAGGCCCCACCGCCTTGAGTTGTAAGTGTGTAATTGACAATTTGGGGCGCTGGGGGTCCCTCGGACACTCCGTGTTTGTGCTTCTCCCCGATGGCACTGGCCGCGGCGCACACAGCGCATGGGAATTCGAATATTCAGGTCGCCTTGCTCTGGGCATGAAGGGAGGGAGAGGTGATAACTCCGGGCCCTCTATTTCGCCCCTTAGTGGAGCGAGAGTTGCACCTCGCATGTGCTGGGGTTGGGAACCCAACTGGAGACCCCGTTACCCAGGAATAGCAAAGCCCCATTTGATTCTGGGGTGCATAGGATCCAATTTGCATAGAAGCACCACCTTGGAGTTGTCCAAATGAGGTGTGTAGTTCCCACGAGTAGAGAGGTCCACCGCAGCTCTGGTTTCTCAGAGGATCCCCAAAGTACTGAGATTTATAGGTTGGGCCGCCCGGCTTGGGTGGATCTGGATTTCCTGAAAACCAAGACCTAGGCAGAGTGGGCTAAGTGAGGCCCAAGGATGACCGGCAACCTGAACCTACCCCTACCGTAGTTGAAATGAGGAACTGAAGTGAAAGGGATAGAGACGGGAGTGAAAACAGCTTCAGAGTTCCCACAGCAGCTCGGTGGCTGGAGTGGGTGGTGCACCTTGACTTCTTAGGCCGGTCAAGAAGCAAGGGAGCTTGTGAGCAGCATTGCCCATGTGGTTTTAATTGGCCTAGCCAAATGAGTGCACAACTTTTTTGTTTCTAAGGAAA